TCCCAGAAGGATGAACATTTTGATAATACAACTTCAGAAAAATGATTATCGAAGCAAACTTCAAAGACAGCCCCAGACATAGGTTTTAGTTGTCTGTCTTTTAAAATCCCAGTTACAATAGGTACATGACATTTAATTTAGAAAACAATAATTTAATCCTTAGATAAATTTTCAATATACCATATAAAAATGTATTTAATAACAATAAAGATTATGATAATAATGAAGGAAAATTCCCATATTTGATTGATATTAAAACATAAACAGCATTCTTAAAATTTCCAACTATATTGATAAAGGCAAACTTACTACTACTTTAGCTACAAAATGTTTGTTTATGAAAATATTTTGCTTATAATAAAAACACAGATATGGAGTTTTATTAATACTAGCCCACTATGACTAAATCATCCACCACAGCAGAAAAATTCTTTCTAGAATTTTGAATAGCAACACTGGGCATCTAAATCTCAGATAGGAATCTAAATCGTCGAGGTTTCTCTGACTTTGAGTAAAGTAAAAATGTGGAGCAGAGATATCCTTAGATGATTTCTGTATATTGGTATAACTGAATAGGACTTCCAGACAAAGGAAGTTCAACAGGTAGGATTTCAAAGGCATCAAAAAACCTCATACAACCAATTCAAACCAGCTATGGGGTGCCCCTATCTAAACAAGACTCTAAGAGGTACAGGCTTGAATCTGGGCATTCTAAGAACATTTTCTAATTAAGAAAAGTAGCTGGTTGCACAAAACCCAAACACAAAGTTTATATCACTCTATATGAGAAAAAAAATAACCTTTAATAGGAGAACTTCTGTTGAGGTTGACAATAAAGAATGGAATCCTATTTTTAAGTGCCCAAACAACTTAAATAGCTCAGTGAGCTAACAACTAAAATCAAAACTTGCCTTGGCTTTGACTGACATTGAATTTATTGGTATTAGTATTTGGTTTGTCAAAGTGGCAACTGTTCAGTATCGGAAAGTGTCATGTATTTTAAGCACAAAACATAATCCTGACTATTTACGTCAAAGCAACTATCTTAAGCCAAAAACACAATGAAAATGCAAAATAAACTTCAGAGGTCTTATAAGTAATGTTGGAATTCAGAAACCTTTGGACAGAAGGTTATAGTGGGGAGGGGTTATCTTCTTCATTGATACTTTAATCTCCTTCCATCCCATTATGATTTAATAGTGTTTTGTTTCACTGTGTTTTCTTTAGTGACTTCTTAGAAAGCTGTAGCTGTTTCCAAAGTGGGAAACCACAGGATGATGTGCTCACAGGACACTGGTAGTGTTCTCTTGGAGGTATTTACAAAAAGGTGCCGAGAAAAGTTCAGTTAGAAACAGGAACTAACACACAATGGACTTTAAAATAATAATTTTTATACAGTGTGGCAAAAGAGAGCATTGCCTAAGAAGCCTAAAAATTCAGTTCTAACTCTGATCCATTTGTACAAATTGTAAAAACAAAGCAAAATAGATTTATTTCCCAAACTCCATATGCCTCTGGAAACTGAATGCAAGTTGTTTCCATTCCAGATCCGTCTTAAACTCAAATACAGTACAGTTAACAATGTACACATTTTACCTTTTGAAAATATTGTGGACATCTAAGACACCAAGAGCCAAGAGTAGCTAATGATTAGTAAACATTTCCTGTTTACTAATCACAAATCACTTCAGCTGAAAAGATGCAAATCGGCAGGTTTCAGGATTTTCAAGCATTTTCATTTCCAAAGTGTAAAGTTACACCATATGCATAGGGTGGACTTTAAAAATGGATGTATATGTAAACTTTTCCATGGTCTTCATGAGAGCCACTCCTGCCTCCCCAGAAATGTCTACTGCTTACAATGTTAAGGAATCTTCACCACTCTGCCTGTAATTTTCAACCAGAAGTCCTCAATGTACCTGAAGCCAAATGGAATATTAGGTATTTTACAAAATGGCTGTAAACCCCCATTATGGGCATACATGGCTCTTTGATCTCACTGCACAGAATTCATAACTGTTCAATAATGCTATACCATTACACCACACACCTTCAACTATTTCCATTTTTCCACAATTCCTTCCAAAATCAGCTTCCAGAGCAAAGCAATGTAACATGAAAAGTTTCTGGGAGGGCTTGTTACATAAAAGAACAGCGTGGATGAAAACTAAGCCACACACACATCCATCTTCTGCTGGGCTTGTTTAGCCCTCCTCTCCCTCCATCACTCCTAAACGTGGGTGCACTTGAGTAATGGAAAGAGAAGGCTCTTCCATCACCACACACTTCCAGTACCTCTGCCTTTGGTCCTCAGACAGTAAGTCTGCGTAGGTGATGAAAACCCTAAGAAAAGAGAAGCTGTCCCTTTAAAATGCCCTGCTCTGTCCCAGATCCCACGTGGAACCAACATCAGCAGCACTTTCCCACTAACATCAATGTGATGCAAGAGGCACCATCCTTTTATATACATAAAACCAGAAAACCTCAGTCCAACATTCCTTAGTGAGGGCGAACAGGTGAAGCAAACGTGTCAGGAAGGGAGAAGCCAAACAACTCCCCACCCCTCCCCAGAAGGTTCGCCAGTCTCGCCCTCCAGTCTCTCTGGGCAACAGCACCTTTCCAACCCTCCTCTGGAGAGCCCAGTGCAAAGAAAGGAGGGAGCCACTAACAAAACCCGAGGCATAAATGCAACGAAAATGCAATCTAAAGCCGCAAAGGTTTATTCTTCCAATCACACACATTAACTCTATTAAGAAAATGGCATCACTTTTTTCCTACCAAAAAAAGCAAACCCCGCAAAGATCATTAAAAGGGAGTTATAAAATAGCAAATATAGTGTTTATCTTATCTCAGATCAGTCCACATTACCAATAAGTTTAGCAGTTTCTGCACTACCACCTCCCCCTCCCTCCCCCTGCTTCTCTTGCATTGGATTTTCACGTTTTCTCATTGTCGGTGGAGTTATAAAAGGCTTTTGCCCTTCGAAAGTTTTAAAAAATAAATAAATATCATCTCCTTGGTCCCTGCAAAGTCAAAATGGACTTCAG